TCGACCACCTGAACGCTCTCTTTCTTTTTAACGTTAATCTCTAACTGAACACACCTTGGGAATCATCGAGCGTAAAAGTGAGCTTCAGAGCATGTGTGCCGCATAAGCTAAGTCTCGTTTTCTTTTCTTCGACCAATCCGGGCACTGACCCATTGGTCAAAATAAAGTATGAGAAGAATAGGTCCCCAAAGACTTGTTTTAGATCGAGAAGTTCATTTCGCCTTCAAGTGGCTTTCGTAAGGGAGTTTCCGTCTCTATTGATTATTGGTCTAGACGAGCGCATAGGACTTGCTCATCGACCGTATCGAAGGTAATGGCATTCTCGCACCCACGCATGAGTTCCTTGTAAGACAAGACCTCCTAGCATATCATATGGGAAGAATGGAATGCCCCTCAAATCCTCTTTCTTTCCGGCCGGAGGACTTTCTGCTGCTAAGAAAATGTCCTAGATAGAGTGAAAAGAGTAGTTCGTGGATCGGCAGTGAGATAAAATGAAAACCTCAACCATCTTCCGAAGCTTATAATAGCGTAGATAGAGTAGCGTGGTGAGAACAACTCACCTTTAGTGAACCACTTGTTCACTCCGATCGGGAACCCGTTTCCAGCTAGTCTGCGCTCCTTGTGGACTTTTGAAACAGAACTTGAAAAAAAAGAAAAGAAGAGCGGGCCATTTCTTAGTGCTGTATATAGAGTTGTTGAATCCCGCGGAAAAAGAAAAGAGGGCTATAAGTAGGCTTGCTTGCTATACGAGCTCTTCGCCTGGCTTGCTTGGCTTTCCTATCGCTCCTATTTATTGTAGTAGTAGGCCTTCTCTTCTAGAAGCTTCGCCAGAAGCAAGCAAGATGAGGTCGCTCTCCTTCGTAGACAAGGCTCGTTCCGTACGACATGTAGTAAAAAAGAAAGATTCTTTATCTTGGTCGCCGCTATACTCCCACATAATGGAGAACAGCTTAGCTTGATCCTCTTCCGAATCGAAGGGAAACGGTGTAGGATTTCCGTTATTATAGTGCTCACTTTGAAAAGACCGTACTCTCTCTAAGAGAGCGTTACAAAATCCTACTGAGGATTTTTCTATGGCTAAGGATTCTATGTAGTCGTTCACCTGCTTTTGGGGCCGGGCTTCCTCCCTTCCCATATTACAAAGGTTTTTCACTTCTTCTTTTCAGAGCGTAACGAATCCGGGGCCGGGTCCTTAGGTGGAGCTTCACAATACGCTACAAGCTCCCTGACAACATGGTCGATTTCTGAGCTTGATGCTACGGAATCCGCGGTAGAGTCGGTTGATGAGCTTGATGCGACTGAATCCGCGGTAGAGTCGGTTGATGAGCTTGATGCGACTGAATCCGCGGATAGTCCCATCCCCTCTTAAAATTGATGAATGTCTACCCAATCACAATAATCTTTCAAAGAAAGAGCTTCTACGACGATCGGCATAAAAGCATGATTCGTTCCACAAATCTCACTGCACTGACCATAGTAAACTCCTTCTCGTTGTACCAAAATAGAGATCTGATTTAAACGACCAGGTACAGCATCGCATTTGACACCTAAGGAAGGGACAGCCCAACTATGAAGTACATCAGCAGATGTTACAAGAAGACGTAGATGACTATTGGCTGGCACAACCAATCTATTGTCAACTTCTAATAAACGTAATTGACCCAATTCTAAATCATCTTCTGGAATCATATAACTGTCAAAAGTGAGTGACTCTTCATCGGAACTATTATAGTCTGAATACTCATAAGTCCAATACCATTGATGTCCAATAGCTTTCATAGTAATGGCTGGATCTACTACTACCTCGTCCATTGCGTATAAGAGAGCAAATGATGGTATAGCAATGAACATAAGGATGAGACTAGGAAAAATGGTCCAAAGAATCTCAATAGTAGTTCCATGAACTATCCGTTGCGGGATTGGATTCTTTTTATAGTGGAAATGCCATAAAGCGCCAACCAAGATCCATAATACGAAAACCAAAATCAGAATGAGGAAGAAAAAGAGATCGTGATGTAAGTCCATTATTCCTTGCATCATAGGGCTCGCTGCATCTTGAAATCCTAATTGCCATGGTTCCGCTGCATCACAAGGACTAATTATGAGGAATAAATATTGAGTCATTTGAAAAGCACCTTCATTAGAGAAAACTTTTCGAGAAATCCTTCATCAGTGGCCTATCCTCTTGACCTTTTTCGCCTGCTTTCTTTGAGGAGTTGTACACCAGGGATGATATGGAATCTTCAATTTCTTGTTACATAGAGCAAAGGTCTACTCTATCTTCAAACTCGCCTTTGAAGGCAGGGCGGGCAGTTCATGTCCTAGGGCGGGAAAAGGAAGGGTAAAGAGCTTATCTTACTTAACGGATAAGGGATCGGAGAAGCAGCTCGAGAGAAAGGAAAACCGAGATCCGAGCTTGTAAGATTCTCAAGGGAAGGGATCAAAGGAAAGCTGAGAGTTGGAAGTGCGCTTCAAGTAGTCCGCTGTCTGAAGACATGACAGATCAATGGAAGGCAAGCTGATATACGGAAGATAGCTGATGTCCGCCCAGTTGACTCAGGTGATTGAGAGTAGTCAGATAAGAAGGGTGGAGAGCTAGGAAGGTAGTCAAAGGAAGGGTCAGTTCATGCATCAATCAAGTAGTCCGCCCTCCAAGCTAGTCCGATAGGCATGAGATATCTATCGTAGTCAGCTCTCAATGTTCAACCTTTCGCGGTCAAAAGCAAGGGCATCGAGCAACTCCGTCAGGAAAAGGCAATCGATCAATAGTAGTCTTTCGGCTTTGACCATGATCAGGCAAGGAAGTACGCCTAGATCAAGATAGGAATATAGCTTCAAGTAGTCCGAGAAAGGGAAGTTAAATCATTCAAGAAAAGGCTTCGTCAATCAGCACGACCAAAAATCTCATTTGTTGAAATTCAGAATGTTTCGAATCACTCTAAGTGCCTAAGGATTCAGACATTACCTTACTAGACCTTTCTAACTAGCGATACAAGCCAGGGCAGCCAAAACAAAGACAAATATCGGTCACAACGAGCTAAGATCTCATCCCTTGGGCGCCATTCTTCACCCTCTCTCTAAGCACTAAGGGATGAAACTCGTAACCACCTGTCTCTGGCTACCAATGCAACCCGTGACCTCAAGACAAGAGCCAACTACATCCCGCCTCTCCTTGATCTAACGAACGGGCTAATCGCACTCCAACTCCCGTAACTACATTCCCCAGCCTCTCCTCGAGGGTACCCAGGGATCACAGTCGAGATCTAAGGTAGGTCTTTCGCGGAAAACCTTGGGACAGGTACCCAATTCCACTCCTAAAAGGCAATCTATTCTTGTATACCATTATTCCAGGAACACAACAGAAAGACAACCTGAAAGAAAGACGGATTTCATTTCAAAACACGATCTAAATAAGCAAGAAATGGAAGGAAAGAAGTCTAAGAGAGGCCCTTAACGAACCCTTCATTAGAAAGAAAAGGAAAGCCAAATGCCCTTTCTATGAAGAAAGGGTACCCTACCAAATCAATTGTTTGAAAGATCTAGAGCTATTGATCAGGAAGATTGACCTCTTTTTGAGAAGAAAGTTTAGGGTTAGCCTCGCCCACTTTAAAGACTAGGTACCCGTAGACTAGTGTAGCCTACTCATTGGCAGAGAAAGCCTTCCCTATGCAATGGTGCTTTCTAGTTCGTATCTGCACCTACATTTACAGTTGTTTTCGAATTTCCCCTATTCTTGAAAATGGGAATCAATAACCATATCATACCGAGCCTGCTAAGCGCGGGAAAAGGGCGAAAGAAAACTCAGGAATGAACCAAGAAGGGCATATCTTCCTGAAAAAAAATGCTACTCTGAATGTTGATCTTCTGACCACGAAACTGAGCAAGAAGTCCATCCTATAGTGGGCGTTTTCTTTTTTTTTAGATCAAAAAGTCCTGTTTTTATGGGCAGAGGTATAGCTCAAAAGTAGAAGTCTTTCGCTGTGACTAAGGATAGACAGGACTCTCGGTTCGTCTGAGCCTGAGTCGAAGACTTCGGATCCTGCATCTGCTTCAGTTAATTAGGTTCAAATGTGCCTTAAATGGTGTTTTGATCCTAATCCTAGCTAGTCCTCATCCGAAGTTGAGGCATTCAACAACTTTCTGAGACACCATTCTTTCCATAGGCAAGGGCCAGCCCGAAGATCAACGGGATCTTTCTACAAGCTCAGTTCCTACCCAACTTTTACGAGGGAACCGACTACGGGGGTGTGTTGATAAACTCGTCTCCGCTCATTTTACCTGGAAATGGAAATCAATTTGTGTACCTTACCCACATCATCAGGTATATTATATCAAAGCTTCTTTTTTCTGGCTTGCTCTTCCAAATTCAATTTTGGCCTGCGGTAATGTAATCGAGGATTTTAGCTCAAAATTCTTTTTTTACTATGAGATGGAAAGTGTTGTTTTAAATTACTGTAGTATTCCATGAGTCATTTGCGAACATTTCGGGAACCTTTGGTGGTCTTTTTGTTCCAAACATCGCATCCTGCTGGTTTCTTTTTAAAAGAGCTAGCTCATTAGCTATCTGTGAGTGGGGCTTGTTGAAAGCATCTACTCGAGTGTATCGAGAAAGGTACCAGTCATCTCAACATTCCAAATTCCTATGTTTCTAGCCAGCAGCCTATTACGTAAACAGCTTTGTCAACTAAGACATATACATTGGAAAACTAATCCTTTGGCCAGGTTCAGTAAATATAAATCGCAGGAAAAACCTGTGGTGGGGAGATTAGTAAGGCAAGGCTTCCCTCTACCTTCCATCGGCTTAGAAGTTAAAAGGCGGGGGGCCGGTGATCTAATAGTGTAGAAAGAAGAGAACTTCGTATTTTGGTAATTCTCTAGGAGTCATGTTTAACCTTGAATGCTATTAATAAATTCTACAGCAATAGTCCCTCGGACTCGGAAAGTAATAACGAAAATGGCTAACCCAATAGCGGATTCCGCAGCTGCCACCGTTGGAACCAATAAAGCAAATAATTGACCCATCATATCATCCAAAGAAACAGAAAAGACCAAAAAGTTCAAATTCACAGCTAATAACATTAATTCAATTGGCATTAACATAATAGGAATATTTCGTCTATTAAGGAGGATTCCCCAAATACCTAAAATAAAGATGATCATAGAAAATGTGAAATATTTAAGAGTAGACATTGATGGTATTCGTGAACCTGTTTCTGGATCTTATGGAAACAATATCATTTCTGGTGCCATTATTCCTACTTCTGCGGCTATAGGGTTGCACTTTTACCCAATATGGGAAGCGGCATCCGTTGATGAATGGTTATACAACGGCGGTCCTTATGAGCTAATTGTTCTACACTTCTTACTTGGTGTAGCTTGTTACATGGGGCGTGAGTGGGAACTGAGTTTCCGTCTGGGTATGCGTCCTTGGATTGCTGTTGCATATTCAGCTCCTGTTGCGGCGGCTACTGCTGTTTTCTTGATCTATCCAATCGGTCAAGGAAGTTTTTCGGATGGGATGCCTCTAGGAATCTCTGGTACTTTTAACTTTATGATTGTATTCCAGGCTGAGCACAACATCCTTATGCACCCATTTCACATGTTAGGCGTAGCTGGTGTATTCGGCGGCTCCCTATTCAGTGCTATGCATGGTTCTTTGGTAACCTCTAGTTTGATCAGGGAAACCACAGAAAATGAATCCGCTAATGAAGGTTACAGATTTGGTCAAGAGGTGGACAGCTTGCTCTCCCTCAAGCCTATTCCCCTCCTGATCATGAATACATAACACCTTATTCCTAGATCTATTACCATTCATCTTTTTTTTATCCTGGCTTAAAAGACTCCTGCTTCAATGGTACTAGCGGGAATGAAAGAAGACTCGGACAATGCAAAGGAATAGATAAAGGGACGGGAAAGCAAGAATAGGCTGACATCATCATTTTTGGATTCGCTACATGAATTAGTTCAGTGAGGGGGGATCCGACTCAGATAGAAGGGGGAATAGACTGGAATCCTTTGCTATTACCATTTCTCGGCCTAAGGACTGCCAGACAAAACTGCCTCGCCATGTAAAAAGGTAAAAAGATCTCTGAGAGCCGTTTCCTGGATCCGAAAGAGAGTACTTGGGTTCTCCCAATAACTAAAAAGTGTATCATGTCTGAATCTAACTGGGGTTCGCGGTGGTGGAGGAACTGGATCGGAAAAAAGAGGGATTCTAGTTGTAAGATATCTAATGAAACCGTCGCTGGAATTGAGATCTCATTCAAAGAGAAAGATATCAAATATCTGGAGTTTCTTTTTGTATATTATATGGATGATCCGATCCGCAAGGACCATGATTGGGAATTGTTTGATCGTCTTTCTCCGAGGAAGGGGCGAAACATAATCAACTTGAATTCGGGACAGCTATTCGAAATCTTAGTGAAAGACTGGATTTGTTATCTCATGTTTGCTTTTCGTGAAAAAATACCATGGAGGGTTTCTTCAAACAACAAGGAGCTGGGTCAACTATTCAATCAAATGTCCTAATAGCTACTTCCTTGCCTTAAGAAGCTCCCAGGAAAGCCTGCTTTATATAGAATAGAAGACTTTTTCTTTCTGCCACTCAATCAGAAGTGTTATACTAATAGGTTGATGCTTTCGCTTAAGCAAATGGTGCCTTTTGGTCCCGTCTCCTTTTGGGCCCATTGGTAGCATAGGAGAACCCGACGTAACTAGAGAGTAGTTGTCGGCAAATCAAGTCAAGATCTTTCCTTTTCCCGGAGCGCCTTCCTTAAGCGTCTGCGTCTGGTGCCTCGGAGCCTGCGGTATAGAGAACGGATCTGAATCAATATCGAATGCAACCTCTCCCGCCGTGGAACTGTTTCCGTTTTTCAATCGAGGTATATTGTAGTTTCCTCGGGTCTTGCCGCCCCACCCCTTTTTTACCCATAATCAGGTTTTTCCCATCCCAAGATAATAGAAGAGGCAAAAGAAGACCCATACCATAGCCATAGATAGGTAGGAAGGGACAAGATTGGAATAGAATCAAGTTGGCAAAGCAAAACCACTGCTGAATCTTGAGGAGGATCGAATTCGGGATGTATGGTGTAGGGCCCCACTTGACCATTTCGAGTATGGTAGCAAGTCTCCCCTCTTCTCTTTTCGATTGGTTGACTAAAAGTGCTTTATTTAATATGTATCTCTCCGATTCTGGTTCATCCACTTCTTCTATTGATTCATGGGCTATATGCACAACAAATTGAATTCGATCCTCCTCAAGCCATGTGATAGAAATTGAAAGACAGAGGGAAAGACAAAGATTCCCATTAGCTGAAAGTGAGTCTACAAGGTGAAGACTCTCTATCGTCAGATCGTTGGCAGTCTGGTTCTGCTTTCTCTGACGCCAAGAATAAGAATATTCCATATTACCTTCACCCACGGATCCTACCTTTCTAAAGGTAATGATGGGGTAAAAACTTCCTTCTGTCTAGCTTCCATCTCTTGCTTGTGCGGTTCAAT